TTGTTTATTCTCCCACCTTGATCATATTGTTATTGTAGATTTTAATTGTTGTTTTATTTGTTTGTACACAATATGTTGTGAGCCACCCTGAATAAACTCCTGTCTAGAAGGGCGGGATAAAAAATCCAATAATAAATAAATAAAATAAACTGTCATATACATAAGTAGCTCAGACTGCTGATTCGGGTAATCTGAAGAACACTGACCCTAACCCTAAATCAATTTATTATACTAACATTTTTCTTTGCACCTTCCTTTGTCTTTTTTTTCTGCAGCAGTATTTTTCATAGCACACATAATGCAATAGTTAATATTCTCACATACCCCTTCGTGCTATTTTTGAAACGATAATTGCTATTTGAGCTAATTTTAAAACTGCCTGAATGCCAGTGTTTGATTATGCTGCCGAGCTTCGATTAGTATGTTGCTTTCTTTTCTTCTTCTTTTTTTTTCAAGTGACTACTACTGAAACATTTCAGGACAAGATTAATGGGATGAATTTATTCATTTTGGAGAGGGGGGAGGCACTCAGAAAAAAACTGTTTCTACCTCTGCTGTATGAAATTTGTCACTAATCATTTTAAACTATGCCCTTTTATGCTTCTTCTGTCTTTTAGCTTTCTATGCAGTTCTTTGATGTAACAAAGACAGTTCCAGACGAGATTTCAGTTCATCTGAAAAAAAGAGTCTTGAGGCAAAATGCAGGGTATTTAAAATTTATATACTCCATAAATGCCTTTGTTCTGAACTTGAACATCAGGCAAAAGTTCCCCATTTTCTTTCACCTAACAACTCTTAAGATCATTTGTTTTCCTAGCTTCAGCTTATTATAATGCAACACCAAGTTTAACTGGTGGTTCCATCATTTAACTACATGCACAGTCATGGTTGACTCTTTCTGATCAATTGCCAATCCATACAGGTTTGACTGATAAAAGAGCCAATTAGATTTAAGCAAATTAAGGGACATCACCAATGTCAACCACTTATTAAGCCAGATACCAAATTCCGTGCATACAAAACATTAATGCACCAAGCCCCATTAAGAGTTGAAACCCTAACCCCATTAGTAACTCAAGACCTCTAAAGGGGAAGGGTCAAAACAAAGTTTCATATTTATGGATCAACATTTGGACTCAGATTTTATTTTACACTTTTTTTACAAGTACTCCTGGACTAGTTTAGTTAAAATGAGAATATATAGAAAAATGAAACATTGTTTTACAGAGATTTTTTTTAAGTGTCTATTTTTAAATAACTTCAAAATACTCTGTCTTCTCACTTCTTATTGTTAGTACATATTAATGTTTAAATATTTAATTATACAAATATAAACAGATTCAAAATATTTTTTAAGAAAGCAAACTGAAGTAAGCTAGAACTGCTATTTCATCAATAATAATAACATGGTACACTGCATAAATAATTTTCATTACATCTCTATATTCTAAGTGCAGGCTATTTTTTTAAATTTGCTATCTTCTTTAAACATATATCCTGTTGTATTAAATCCATTTGAAGGGTTTGGTCTTCTGCTTTCTTTTTAATTTGCTATCTTCTTTAAACATATATCCTGTTGTATTAAATGCATTTGAAGGCTTTGGTCTTCTGCTCTCCTATCTCCTGGATTTTGTATGCTGGGGGCACTTAATGAACCAGTTTGGTTACGTTTTATTCTCTTCATGCGAATAAAGGTTTTGTCTTGTCCTGTCTTGTCTATTCTGTTTGTGTGTTGTTTTTCCTCTTACAAGGGGAAAAACTCAAACGTAGCACAGCATATGTCAACCAAATACATTTGATTTTATAGATGTGATTAATTATATTGATACAGGTTTATGAGTGAATTTAAGACAATTAATTTATCTTGATTAGATTATGCAAGCAAATCACTTGTTGGTTCTGAGTTCATCTCAATCATACTATTCCCTAAATCAAGAGAAATAACTTTTGAAATAAGACAGGTGTGCACTGTTTTAATAGGAAGGAGCCTCACACAAAACAAACCATTTCCGCATTTCTACACAGGTGAATGACTCAATGAATGAATGTTTTCAGTTCAATTCTTTACATATTTCTCAATTCCTGTTCTTTGTTAGCTGACATGAAATCTTGTGATTTCAATCCCTGCTAGAAAACTTCAAACAAAAGACTTAGCTAGAAAGCGTAATCTCTTTGAGGAAAATAATCTACAGGCCTGTTATGTGGGAAATATTTCTCCAGATCTTCTTCAATTAACTGGAAATTCATTTCAGGAATAGGCTATTAGTGTTGCTTCTTAAGACTGAATCCAGTTGTTAGTAATCCCATAAAGAACGGACCCATTGAATGAATGGAACATGATAAGTCAAAAGTTTTGTTACTGCCATTGACTCATCATGCCAACTCTAGTCAGAGCTAACAGCTGTCCTTGAAGTGGAGGCTACAGGAAGTAAGCTAGATCTAGCAAAGTAGGGATACCATGTCTGTGGGTTCCCCATTTTTCTCAGCAGTACAAAACCATTGAGAATTATGCTGCTAAGTAGCCATCAATCTGTCTTCTATTACTTTTTATATACTATACAACAGTGGTCCAAAACCTTGGGCCTCCAGATGTTCTTGGACTTCAACTCCCCGAAATCCTGGCCACCAGAGGTGGTGGTGAAGGCTTCTGGGAGTTGTAGTCCATAGAACATCTGGAGGCCCAAGGTTGGAGATCACTGCTATACAGTATACAGAATGTACTGTCATGTAAGGAACAGGGAATTAAGATAAAACAAGGTTGAGAATATATTAGTCACCTAGAACGTTTCTATGCTGTGTCTTTAGATCAGGAACTGACAGGGTGTATACCAGAGGCAGGATGAATTTGCCACAGCTATAGCCAAAAAAGCCACTTGCCATCAGATTGGTGGCAAAATTCCCCCCACCAAACCCTCCCCCATCACCGTAGCCCCCTCAAAAGATGCAGAACATGTTTGTCTCATAAGAACCATCACCTGCCAAAGGTTCTCAAAGCTTTACTCAAAAGTGTGGTATTTCATATCACCTTCAGTTAAGTTAGCAATTCAGATAAGTTCCTATCATCAACTAATTTCAACACAGTGCTACAATTTACTATTTAATTTAAGATGTGGCTTTAGTGCCTAGATCATTAACACAGTCAAACAAAATTATTATAATAAAACATAATGGCAAGGTAAATATGGCTTATAGAATGTCTTATATATCAGTGCCTTTCTCATATGTGCTGGTTCATTTATTATTCATTTCAGGACGAATCACAGTCCACTGGACAAAGGGATGGAAAATTTCTTTAATAACTTCCACTGCTAATTTAATTCTACTTAAACACACATAGTCTAGTGAATGCCACATGCTTTTCAGCATGATTTTATGTGTAAATCAGGATAATATGTTTTCAGATCATTAAGTAAAAGGAACCATGAGCTAAAACCTATTTAATCAATGAGGTATTGCTTTTAAAGCACCACAAGGTCATAAAAAAGATCATTCCAAAGCTGTAAGTTTTCTAATTGTAATCAACAACAATCAAATGATGAAAGAAACTATATCATAATTCCCAGAATAAATTGGCATAAATATATGCCTGTCTTTAAAGATGAGGTACTCTTTTTTGCCCCCTCATACATATGAAAAAAAACCAATTAAAAATCCCCCCTAAATATAGCATTGGGAAATTTTGTCACAAAAAGCATCTAGATATGTACTGTACCTTAAAAAATAGTAACCTCTCCCACTTCAAGAGTTTCTAAACACAAATAGATGTATTTATTTCTGCTTCTTACATTTCCATCTGCTCTTTCCTCACATTTTATCTTAAAAAGAATCCTGTGAGGAAGGTCAAGCAGAAAGGGATCCACATGCACCCAGCTGAACTGAATGGGAATTGAACCCAGGTCTTTGGAGTCCTACCCCAACATTCTCGATAACAGACATTTTTCTTCTCTCTCTCTCTCTCTCTCTCTCACACACACACACACACACACACACACAAAACATAATAGAAATGTAGTAATTATACAACAACACACACACACACACACGCACACAAAACATAATAGAAATTTAGTAATTATACAACACTTCTTTCAACTTGCTAAGAACATTTCACATACACCATCTTTACACCAAACCTGTGTACAAGCATTGCTACTCAGATACAAACTCAGAGAAACCGATTACAAAGTCATTTCCTAAATTCAAGCTCGAGCTTGCATTTGAAGCTGTTAATATCAACATATAACTCACAGTCAACATATAAACCACAACATCCATGCCCAAAATCCTGTTTACAAAAACACAATCATAGCGGTTTCCCTCCTCCAGTGGGCTGCCTTTTGCACAACTAGTTGCACAGCCAATACAGCATTTGATCGCTTATGCCAGTGGTTCTTAACCTTGGTTTACTCAGGTGTTTTTGAACTGCAACTCCCAGAAACCCCAGCCAGCACAGCTGGTGCTGAAGGCTTCTGGGAGTTGCAGTCCAAAAACACTTGAGTAACCTAAGGTTAAGAACCACTGGCTTATGCAATGGAGAACCTGTTAATACAGGGCGCTTGTGCTTGATTGCCCTTCCACAGTCACAAACAGGAATCTTCCCGGACTTGTTAACAATTATCACCTGGTGATTGTATATCAGATATAAGAAGCTGGCTTTCATTAGCATGAAAGCAATAGTAGACCCCTAGAATTTCCAAAAGGTATCTCAATCTCCAACACAAGAGCTGGTTTTGTTTTTGTTCTTTTACACAAGAGTATTTTTATACTGCTGGCTTCAAACTTTCCCTACAGACATTCTTGTTAACTGTCTCCACATAACACAGTTATGCATTTTAACACATATAATTTCTAGAGAGGAAGAAAGAAGAGAAGAGGTCTGTGAGGGAAATGCCTATTCCATTTCATGTTCAAATATTTAGTTGTGGGCATGAAGTACTTCAAGAGAACTTTCGTGTGCTATACCTGCAACAAACACAGAAAAAACATTTCTCCACACTTACCCCCAGGAGGTATGGCAATTGTTACAGGATCACTCATCACGTAGCCTTGACTATTGGAAGCATTCACTTCAACGGTGTAGTTCGAAAATGGAACTAGTCCTCCAATGAGGACCCATGCATTTGCTTCTTTGCCCATATATAAAACACGTGTACCATTTACCTGAGTATAATTGTGATTAGCTAAAAAAAAAAGAGAGAGAGAGTAAAACCTGAGCTTTTCATATGATATAATAATGAACTTACATATTAATGTAGCTGGCAACAATATGACAGTAAATCATAACAATATAAACCACACAGCAGTAACATAGTTTGAACATTGTCATAGGAAGTGGAGTGGGAGAAATAATAGCAATAACAGTTATTTGAAAAATTCACAAAAAGTAATAATGCACCATGTTGCAAAGAGGGATGCAGTGGCAGCTTTCTGCAATCAGAATTGGGTCAGGACTAATTTATTGGCCAGAATCCTACTGGTGTTTGTTTAAGGTTTCTACAACTTGCAGCAGCTAATTGAAGCTAACTGATGAGGTGTCATGGCATGTTTAGGTCATGTGCCTGGTCATCTACTTGATAACATGACTAAGATGCACCCTGGCAAAGTCTCAATCAGGATTCCAGTCATTATATTCATTAATTACTTGGATTAAACAGGGGACTCATGTACAGAATGTGTGTATAAAACAAAAACAGGTAGGATAGCAAACTTTTTATGGGTTGGACAGCCTAATATTAGTACTAATTTAATTGATAAAGTTTTTCCCTGCCTATAGCATTTGAGACAATCCTCCAACCCTCTTCTTGTTTGTTTCTGCTCCCATTATTTTGTTGTTAACACTCTCTTTTTCCTCCAATCACTCTCCAGGATACAGATGGTTATATAAAGAATTTTTTTCTACCTTAAATGCTTCTAGAGTATCGATTGATTGATTGATTGATTGATTGATTGATTAAGTGAGTGAGTGAGTGAGTGATTGATTGACTGATTGATTGATTGATTGATTGCATTTATATGCCACTCATCTAGACATAATCTACTCTGGGCAGCTCACAGCATACAAGATAAAAACAATTCAAAATATATATTAACAGTTTTTCAACAATACTACACAAAGTCCTAGTTTTGTATGCAAATCTAGAAGGGTGTTTGGTTAGACTGCACTGGTCCCTCCATATTTTTGGTTTTTTTTCTGCTTTATACTCTGCTAATAAAAGGAATAATCTGATTCCTAGAACTCCCTCCACCCTTTTTTTTGCAAAAAATAATAATTCCCAATGTTTCAGTCAAGCACTGACCCAATGTGTGCTTGTGTGTGTGTGGCGTGCGTGCGTGTGTGTGTGTGTGTGTTTTCTGTCTTCAAGTCGGAACATTCTTGTAGCAACCCTAACAGGGCTTTCAAGCTATGTGAAATATTTAAGGAGTAGTTTTATCAGTTCTACTTGCCTAGCGATTTTCCATGGCCAGGTGTGAACACTGTTCTCCAGAGTCCTAATTAGAGATGGGGGTATTCGTATTCCTATATGAATACCCCATGCACAGGCGGCAATAAGGGTCCATATCCCTTGGGCCGGATGGTCCACTCACAATTCTGCTGCTGTCGCAACCTCTGCAGAGCCTTCCAATGGCTCCGGAGATTGCAGTCAGCTCACCACTCCTGGGAGGACGTGGGAGGACAAGCCTCTCTGCAAGGTCAAAGAGTGGCTCACAGATCACAATCTCTGGAGCCATTGGAAGGTTCAGCACAGGTCGCAGCAGTGGTGGAATTGTGAGTGGACTGTCCGGCCCCATGGGGCTGGACCCTCGTTATCGCTACCTGTATGAGTAGCCCATCTCTAGTCCTAATCCATCACTCTATCCATTACATCACCCTGGGAATCCCACAGACCCACAGTGTTGCAAAATTCCAAAACAAATTTCAAAGATCTTATTAAAATTAAGCACACAAAATATGCTAGGTAAAGATTCAAGACTAAGAATTTTTCAAATACAACATTTCTCTCTGTTGGTTGTTGTGGGTTTTTCAGGCTCTTTGGCCGTGTTCTGAAGGTTGTTCTTCCTAACGTTCTCCAGTCTCTGTTGCCGGCATCTTCAGAGGACAGTGCTGTCCTCTGAAGATGCCGGCTACAAAGACTGGCGAAACGTTAGGAAGAACAACCTTCAGAACATGGCCAAAGAGCCCGAAAAAACCCACAACAACCATTAGATCCAGGCCGTGAAAGCCTTCGCAAATACATTTCTCTCTGTCTTCATCGCCCCTGATCATGCTGTCCCTGATAATACTGAAAGCTCATCTACAAATTATGTTCTGTCCAGGACATCAATATTCAGCAAAACCCCAGAAAATTATCTGAAACTAAATGGAGCTGTCAAATGAAATGAAAGAAGCTTCTCACACTTGAACTTAAGGTTGGTCAAAGGAATTGTCAGGAAAGGAGGGTAGCTCAGTAGCAGAACATATGTTCTGAACAAAGGTTCAGTCCCTAGTCTGTCCATGTAATAGTGAGAAAGAGTGATGTCTCACAACCCACTGCTAGGCCCCATAGACAATGCTAAGTAAGCGCCTGTCCATATTTCTCAAAAAACCCACAATGTGTATCATTTTAATTTTAGCAGACTCAAGACACATAGTTTTTGAGTCATTTCCTGAGTTACCTACTGAGTAATTAAAAAAACCCACAATGTGTATCATTTTAATTCTAGCAGACTCAAGACACATGGTTTTTGAGTCATTTCCTGTGTTACCTACTGAGTAATTGAAATGCTCTCTTTTAAAACTTGCTGTAACACTCACACGAGCTTAAGTCAGTTAAGAAAACTGCCCTCTAGTGGCCCTTTAACTCATTTCCTAAGAAGATAAATACACACTTTGGAATTCATTGTGTGAATGTGAAACTCAGCACAGTTTCTAACACAGGTCAAATCCCAGTTTTCTGGGCCATGTGACCAGGATTTTAGACAGGTCCAATGGTCTGATTTTTTAAAAGACAAACTTTCAATCTTCCATAAACTGACTTCACTCCAGGCTTAGGAATATTTGGTGAGAAGAAAAAAACCACTTAGGTAACCTTTACTTGTTTGGCTGTTGCATCTAAATATTGCAGAATATTACAGAATGGCATGAGAAGGAGCCTGAGATAAGCCACTTCCATGCTGTTGTGTTAATGGATGAATATTAAGTAGTATGGCCCAGCTATAATTAGCAATAGCATCAAGTTCCCTTAGGAGAGAGTAAATGTGGAGAAGGTACAGTAGGGCAAGATTTTGATAATTTATGGCCCACGATCAACAGAGTTAGGAAGAGCTTTTGGGATTCGTGGTGCATGCTTTAGTACTTGCCAGTCTGAATACCAAAATCATTAGTTGTGGCCCACTTGAAATTGTTCCAAACTGAACTTAACCCATACTGCAAAACGTTGGGTCTCCTTGCCTTGACAAGTTTGATGCCATCATTGATACCCAATCCAAGGCAAGGATATATATATATACAGAATTCAACATGATAGAATAATGTATATTATTGCTTTTGTTTATATATATAGCATTCCCAGCCTGAAGCATAAATATTGCTGAAAATGTACCAGTCAAAGCCTTTTTGTATGTTATATTTCCATTTTCATGAATTATATCCCTTTAATTCTAATTTATTGAGCTTTAAAGTATTTTTTCCCTTCCATCCACAGGAATACATAGCCAGGAATTTTTCATGCAACAATTTCAGCCACTTTTCCTTCAAAAAAAGAGATAATTTCATTGTTTGTTCAATTTGTAAAATCCACTTTCAACCACATAACAAATATTAGTTTTTATGTTTTAAAATGCTGCTGAGAAAAAGCTATCAGCCAAGCCACACTTTGTTCTGTTGCCTAGATAACAACATTAATACACAGTAATTATATAATTAGTTGTAACATTAAGTTCTAGTTATAGCAGAATGATTACTTGGCAATTATGAGAAGTATATAATTACTCAATAATTATGAGAAGTATGTAATTACATAACCATTTTATTCACTCCCCACCCCACCCCAAAATGAACTTGCACATTTATAATGAGTTAGGCAATGCAGGAGTTCAAATTGCTCAGTGCTTCAAATGCAAGGAGAGGAGGTGCTGACAGATCTCCTAACATGAATTATGCACAGAACAAAGGTTTTGTATCAAAGCAGGCTGCAGTCCTGGCAACTAAAATATTAGGAAAATCTCCCCACACTTCTCTGATGAATGCAGGTCCTCAAATTACTCATGCTAGGAGTGACACACCGTGTGCAGTTTTGCCACTTTGCGCTGCATAAACTTGACTTTCAGTGGGCTGGAAAATGCAGCCGCATTGGTTCAGCCTGAAAGAAAGTGCGACACTGATAAGCATTTCATATCATTCAATGGCATTCCTGACTAGTCTGCCTCAGCTTGGATCCTATTTGTGAGTATAAGTGGGTAGTGCCTTCCTCTTTCCATTTTTCATATGTGTCCTTCTTCCCAGCCGACTCGCAATTCTAAACTCAGCAGTTTGACAACAGGAACGTGCCTCATGCCTGTATGAGCAATAGCTCGGGTTGCTGGCAAATTTCAAGGGCAGCTGTTCCCCTTTTGCACAATGGTTTATGCCGCAGCAACTATTTATCCTATTTGTTTTGGCCCTTCCCTGTTCTGACAGAACTTTCAGCCAGGATGTTTTGATCAAAGTCTTGCTGTCATCTGTATTCGGCAAAGACATGTCTGTGAAAAGAACTCACCAATAGCTGTCTCTAGAAATGGTCTGGCCTTGTGGAGAGCCAGCAGTAAGATGATAAATGGGCCAACCTTACAGAGTGAGGCAGTTGCCTCAGCAGCTGATGCTGGGGGGCACTTGGCAGCCGGTATCAATGGGACAAGGCAGTCAGTGGTAGGCAGAAGAAGGTATCTGCACATCTGAATATCGATCACAGCACAAGTAGATGTTCTCCTGAACTCACTACTTTCACTATTGCCCTCTCACTCTTACACACTACACACACATACTCAGATTTCAGCACACATTGTCATATACACACATGCGCTCAGTCAGGAAAACATTTTTCTCACACATTTACACTATTTATCCCTTTTTTCACAGGGACAGAAGGGCACCTGAGGAAATGCTTCCTAACAATTCATTAACTTCAGGCACTTATCTGAACACAGTTTTTAAATCAAAATAGAA